CAGGGAGCCTGATGTGGGACTCGATCCCGGGACTCCAGGATCATGACCTGAGCTGAAGGCAGTCGCTTAACCAACTGAGCCACCCAGGCGCCCAGCCTGTAAGAAAATTCTTATCAGTAATGGTTATTTAATAAACAAAATAAAACACCAAAGTCTTTAAAGACAGAAATATACTCTCATCTATCTGAAATGGGCTGGAAAAATTGCTTTTCAATTGACTAAAAGCAAGAAACTTTCCTGTATTTTTATGTCTCATAATTCCTATCTTGTATCCTATACTTCTTCTTTCCTTGGAAACCAGTAGAACATAGTATGAAATCAATTGTACCAATCTGCTTTTTTTGAGATTATATTATTGTTTCCTATAGCTATGAATATCAGAAAGCTTGGATATAATTTTCACAGAAAATATGTAACATACTGGTAAATTCACCAAAATGTGAAAAACAGATAACTGTAAGGTTCTAAAATCAGAAAAGGGTTTATCAATTACATGTGAATGGAACAAAAATTCTGGTGGTAATTTGACCACTTTCACTTTCTTAAGTCAGCTTTACAGTTCAATGCAATTTGTTGTGAACTGTTTCTGTGATTTAAGAATTTATGTAAAGTGATAATGACTGCATAGTTTATATACTCATAAGGTTTTCATGTCAAGAACACATCAAAGTTTATAATCAGAGAACTGAGTACTAAATCTTTTTCAGGGATAATGTCAGAAGAAATAGTATACAAAGATTTTTCCAACTGTCAGATTTTTAAAAATAATTAATTAAATTTTAAAGGATTTTATTTATTTATTTGAGAGAGAGCGTGAGCCCCATACAGGGCCCCATGCAGGGCTTGACCCCAGGACCCTGAGACCATGGCCTGAGCCCAAAGGACACTCAACCAGAACCTCCTTCAACTGTCAGATTTTAAAGCAGCTGAGGAATCAATTCAATTGCAGAATAGGGTGGGTACAAATTATTTAAAAATTCAATTAACACTTGTTTTGCAAAAACATTTCAAATTATATTTTATAAAAGAAATTGATAGCTCTTGCTTTTCATGGTTTTATACTGCTTTAAAAATGTTTCATAGATTTAATTAGGAATATGGGTCACATCCACATATTCAATTAATCTTAATAGCATATAGTAAGTGCTATACCAGTGATGTGAGGGAATAATTGTGTGGAGGTTACAGGGTTCAGACTGGAAAGGTACTGGAGGCCCCTGAGATGAGTCAAAGTGTGAGAGAAAGAACAGCATGAGTGTATGGGCAATTATAAGAAAAGGTTTTTGATTATATGATCTCACGTATATAAAAGGCTAATATGCTCAGAGGCTAAAGTTAGCATTTCTTTCTTTTTTTTTTTTAAGATTTTATTTATTTATTTAGCAGACAGAGAGAGAGCATAAGCAGGCAGAGCGGCAGGCAGAGGGAGAGAGAAGCAGACTCCCCGCCAAGCAGAGAGCCTGACATGGGGCTTGATCCCAGGACCCTGGGATCATGACCCAAGCTAAAGGCAGACGCTTAACCAACTGAGTCACCCAGGTGCCCCTAAAGTTAGCATTTTCTTTTTAATTGTAGCAAAGTTTTCAGTAAATGCAGATTATAATTAAGATAGGTGACTATTAACCATAAATCCTAATTATTGAAATATACCTAAAATAATAATTTGAATCTGAATTTGTATAAATATTTATCATCAAGGCTTATAAAACGTGTAGGCAAGTTTAAAAAAATAAATAATACACACACATATAAAACATAAATGAACTACTTTATGGAGGCAGAATAGGTTACAGTGGCTAAAGGAAAAATGAAAGAAAACATCTTACATTTACAGATTTAATTATATATTTTTAACAAACTCCATTCTTATCCCCAAATATAATTATTAATTTATATTATGATAGAAAAATATTTTAAACTTTCAGTTAAAAAGTATAATCACTACGGGGCACCTGGCTGGCCTAGTTGGTAGAGCATGTGAGTCTTGATCTTGGGGTTGTGAGTTTGAGCCCCACATTGGGTACAGAGATTCATTAAAAATAAAATCTTTAGGGGCGCCTGGGTGGCTCAGTCGGTTAAGCGGCTGCCTTCAGCTCAGGTCATGATCCCAGGGTCTTGGGATCGAGCCCCACGTCAGGCTCAGTGGAGAGCATGCTTCTTCCTCTCCCTCTCCCTGCTGTTCTGCCTACTTGTGCTCTCTCTCTCTCTGTCAAATAAATAAATAAAATCTTAAAAAAAAAATAAAATAAAATCTTTAGGGACACCCGGGTGGCTCAGTTGGTTAAGCATCTACCTTTAGCTTCAGGTCCTGGGACCGAGTCCCACATCGGGCTCCTTGCTCAGGGGGAGCCTGCTTCTCCCTCTGCCTGCCGCTCCCCCGCCTTGTGTGCTCTCTTTCTCTCTCTCTCTCTCTGACAAATAAATAAAATCTTTAAAAAAATCTTAAAAAAAACAAAACAAAACAAAACCCAAACTTTAGGACCTACCTAAAACATTAGGATTAAAAAATGGAAAAAGATATACCAAGGGAGTACTAATCAAAAGAAAACTGGTTTAACTATGTCACTATCAGAAAACACTTTAATACAAAAAAAATTATGATAAAGAATCTCAAAGCAGTGACAATAGGTTTGAGTCACCAAGAAAATATATTATCTCTAAATCTGTATTTATAAAATAATAATATAGACTCAAAATCTACAAAACAAAAATTGGTAGTACTAACTTTTAGAGAAATAGCTAAATACATAATCATGTGGAAGATTTCTCTTAATAAATGATAGCTTGATCAGAAAAAAAATTAGTAAGATTTGAATATATATGAAGTTTAATCTAATGAATACATTGTATTAAATACTGTACACAACAACTATAGTATATTTTCTTTCCAAACACATAATGACACAGTGCATTTTAAGAAATTTGTCTACCTACTGGGCCATAAAGCAAATTTCTCAACAAATTTCAAGAAATTAGCATCATATAAATCTATGATTAGGCTAGAAATCTGGAACAAGAGAAAACTCCTAGGGAAAAAAATACACACAGAGATTAAGAAATACTTCTAAATGACTCTTGGGTTAAAAAAGAGATTATAATGGAAAATACTCTGAATTGAATCATAATAAAAATACCATATAACAAATCTTGTGGGATACAGCTAAAGCAGCATGTGGAGGAAAATTTATAACCCTAAAATATGCCTATACTGTCCAGAAGTGAGGCTGAAAATAAGCTAAGCAAAAGTAGGAAAGGAAGACAAAATAAACCCAAAGAAAACCAAAAGGGGAAAAGAAAGATAAGAGCAGACATTAAAAAACAGAAAACAAAATACAACAGAGAAGATTAATGAAGTAAAACAAAATGCTCTTTAAAAAGATTAAAAAAAAACAAACCTGACAAATCTCTGGTGAGGAAAAAATCAAAGAGGTGTGCCTGGGTGGCTCAGCTGGTTAAG